CCCCCCCCCACATTCCCCTGGCTATAAGTAGTATTTACCGTACCGTTCCTAAAAAGTTTGTCATGTTTTATTTCAGCGTTAAATCAAAGTACATTAAAGTTTTTTTTGGCACTGATTACCAAAAAAAGGTTTCCCTTTCAACAAATCCACTCAAATCAAGTAAAAACAAAACAGCTGGTTACAGGAGAGCTCACCATCTCAAGAAAATAAGAGTCCAGAAAAGGCATCAGTGTTTGAGTACTGCAGCTTTTCTCCATCATGATGACGCCACACTGTGATGAGGTTTACATTGTGAATTTCAAAATCTATCCTTTGCTTTATTGATCTCTCTCCTCAAGTCCTCAGTGGCCTCCTGCAAAGACGCGTCACCACCAACCTATAGCACTTAGTTATTGGTCAGAAAGCTTTAATTGAGGGCGATTGCCGAGCTGTGTTTTAATGTTTGTCCTACGTGCTAAATACAGGCTGACAAGTAATGAGATTTTCCAGCTGTTGGGCCCTGCAGGCGTGATCTTAACTAAACAACAGCACATCTGGGTCTCCATCAGCAGCGCTCAGCCACATTAGTTCAATTCAGTTTTATTTATTCTGGAAAGATAAAGGCCAAATCACAACAGCAGTCACCTGGAGATGCTTTATTTTGAAAGGTAGAGACCCTTGATACCAGAAACCTGATAAGCAATGAGTTGTATGAGCTGATGCAAAGTGTGACACGGTTTAGAGCGGTAACATTCGCACTCCTTAATAGGTAGCTTCGTTAAATGTTCTGTCTTTATGACTTTTTTCTGATAATCAGTGTCAAAAAAAAGCATCATTAATGTTGGTTTTACGTTACATATAAAACGAAGCCTAAAACAGACTGCAGTGGGCAAATACTTTCCACCTGGGGCGTATAAAACGCTCTGGGGAGCAGGGAGCGGGTGAAGATGGCGTCAAACGGATGGCACCAAATGCCCCCCCAGAACCCTGCACACACAAGCTGTCATCCTTCCACGAACTGATGGATTGTAAATGCTGCTTTCAGGATGTGAAATGTTGTGTAACAATGCAAAGTGACCCAATCCTCATATGGATTTGGAGTTGGGACTGTAGAGTCCGAAGAGCGGAAACCTCCTTATGCCCAGTGTTTATCCTTATCAATGGAAAAAAAAAAAAAAAGACTCTGGACTGCAGGAGAGAGAGATAGAGGACCAGACCAGAGCCTGGATGGATCTCACCTGCCTCTTTATTTTTGTTGTCTTGTTTGTTTTTATAAATAGCTTGCTTACTGCTGGTGTGTGCAGTGAGAAGACGAACGTTTCACACGCACATTTATTGTCCCCACTGCCGCTGACATAAGCACGCTCATGTACCCGTGTACTCACTCAGACATTGTTAGGCATCACAAACCGGCCACCCACTGCCATGTCCATTATCATTCCAGTTTTACCTATAATAATGGTGCCACCTTGTGGAAGTGTAGAGTAACTGCAGACCAGTAGCGGGATTCTAATGGTTTCTGCACACATTGAGGAACTCGTAACGGGGCTGATATCGGTGCTGAGACAATGAGACATCTTGGAGTTGTTCCTACCACTTACATAGACTTTGACTTTTTAATGACTTTTAGCTGTACCATCGTGAACTCTTTGTTTTATAATTATTGTGAAATCCAATTATTTCTTTCCAAATCATACCGTAATGCACAGACAGATCTGCAGGAAGTGTCAAAGAGAGACCCATAAGCACTATTCATTCAACATGGTAGAATTTTTGGCACACTTTTGTGTCACTAATATTCTGTATTTAATTTTAATTTTATTGACGAGTCTTATATACTTGTAACTTGATTTTTAAATTTTTTTTTTTTTAATGCTGGGGTATACAGTGTTCTTACACCAGTGATGCCAACTCGTTAAAGGATTGTAGAGTCCGTGTAAGAATAGTTTGACGTTGTAAGGAATGTATAAAGGAAAAGCATTGGTACTGTACAGTAAATTGTGCTAGTTCTAAAGTACAAGCTGTAACAATAGAAACCTTTTGATATGTGCGTTTGTCAGCACATAGACATGTCGTTAAAACGGATAGACGTAGAGTAGCGAGGGTCTGCAGAATGTTGCATGGCAAGAGGTGTTTCTTTGTTTTCTGTTTTATTTGCGTGGGGTGGCTTGTTCCGATGGATTTCTTTTACCATGTGTTGAGAACTACTACGGATTTTCCAGTAGTTTTGATGACGATGTGATGCACAATATTTTGTGTACAGTTTCTGCTTTATTTTACCTTGGCGTGCCGTTCTATCCAAGTTAAGTTTTGACCCGCGAGGTAAAAGCAAGTTTTTCCAGAGTTGTATTTTTGTATTTAGTAGTTCTTGCAGAACAGTAACTTTGTAACACTGGTTTTTGTTTTTGGGTTTCGTAACAGGTAGTGCTTTTAGCACACAGACACAGACACACACAGACTCAATCTCTGACTTTCTCAGGTTCTCTCCACGGACGTCCGAAACCTTTCGGGCACAGTTTGCACATCTCTGGGTTACTGAATGACTACAACACAACTTCTTCAGGTTCTCTGTCAAGCTGTCTAAGGATCGTATCATTGATCACAATCTACTGTCTTTACTATTTATCGAATATATGTTACTGTAGTTCTTACTGTCTGAAGATAACTGCCTGTATAAACTGTTCTTGCCACAAACTAATGGCCAGGTGGCAAACATGACAGAAATACATGTCTGCTTAACACTGTGTGATTTATTCTTTTTTTTTTCTATTTGATAACGACTCATTTCTGGTGTAAGTGGCATCTACAATGCAATGAAAGCTACAAATGCGTTAGACACGGAGGTTTACATTTAAAATATTGACTGCTTTAATCTCATTACAGTTAATACAGTCACTGTGTGCTTTCTTATGATTTAACCGATCTGTAATGCTCTTCAGTCTCATAACAACTGAACTCCACTGCTGAACTCTAAGCAGTGTCACTATTTTTGAACGTCGCTTCATCCATCACTCAGATTGGCATTATACTTGTGTATGAATGCATCGGTGTCTTATTATTATGTTGCACCAGCTGAATAAAAAGCAGCTTTTTATTAATGTTGTTTGGACTTATTTATCAGGGTTGGAGTAAATACAGAGGGATAATGCTCGTGAGGCGTACATGAAGAAATGGGAAAGAGGCGATTAGTGAGCAGGAGTGTGGCTTCATGCTGAGAAAGAGTGCTACGAATCTGTTTGCTTTCAGTGCTGATGGAGAAGGTCAGGAAATGCACGGACTTTGTGGGACTAGAGAAAGTACTGAAACATAACAGAATACATGTTCAGGTTCATTTCTCGACCTCACCGATCCGTTTGATATCCCAGCTGGAGAAGAAGAGTCAGATGAGGCTGATGTTTTCGTTCATCAAAGCTTTAACACCAATGCGCGTTGGGAGATCACACTACATGCAGCCACAGCAAGCACCAAGTGGATCTGAGGAGCAATTCCTCAATCTGTTCATTATAAAGCCTCTGGGCGCTCCCTTAAAGGACTTGTCCTATATTTATCTAGTAGTCCCACAAGCATCTTGCAACCTTTAAATCACATGATTTAAAGGTTGTTACGGGGGTTACAGGTGAGCCCACCCTACGCCCACTACAGTCAGCAAACCGAATCATACAAAGAATACGTTGTTTCCTTATCAAGGACATTCAAGGCCACACCCCCTAACGTTCACATAGAAAGGTACACTCCCCAACTGTTCCTTTGTAGTTTCCTGCTTTTCTATTCTTCTTTACAACCTACTCCTTATCTCTGCATATCATAGGGGAACTGAAACATGCCACCTGCTTTAATACTTTCTCACAATGTGTATGAATGAGAGGGAAACAGGTGTAACAGTGAAACAGCAAAGAGCGGAGATAGTGAGGGTAGATGAGTTTAAATGCCTGGGGTCAACCATGCGAAGCAACAGGCAGTGCACAAGAGAGGCGAAAAAGGGGTTAGGCAGGGAGGAGAATGTCGTAGGGATCATTTGTGACAGAAGAATAACCTCAAGAGTAAAGAGAAGGTTTACAAGATGATAATGAAACCTGCTATGATGTATGAGTGACAAAAAGACGGGAGGTGGAGATGAAGATGTCAATCTGGTAGTGAGCAGAATGGACATGATTAAAAATTAGTATATCAGACGGACAGCTCAGGTTCAGCAGTTAGAGTTAGAGAGGCGAGGCTGAGATGGTTTGGACCTGTACAGTAGAGGCATAGTGGATATAGTGGACAAAGGATGTTGAAGATGGAGCTGTAAGGCAAGAAGAAAAAAGGAAGACATGCAGAGAGTTGGTGTGACAGAGGAGGATGCTTGCGATAGGGTGAGATGGGGGAAAGAGGATCAGCTATGGTGACCTCTAAACGGAGCGGCCAGAAGAAGAAGTAAAATAAAAGTATTAGTAATAGCATTAATTTCTGGCTTATTTCGCAATGTCGCACAACACTACTTGGATTCTGACACAAAATCCTACTCTTTTCCAGAAGGGGGCAGTAGTGTAGTATTTGCAACGGCAGCCGCCTATTGTGCAGCCGAAGAAGAAGAATCAGTCGAGCTTTTATCAACTCGAAGTGGCTACGTAAATGTTAGCAAGGTGACACAAATGGTTGTTCTTTCTTTTGGATATTGTTCCCCATTGCTGACTCGACATGGGCAAGAGAGACAATCGAGTGGTGAGTGGTACCGCATAATTTGATTAAAATTATTTGCATATATACCGCGTGACATTTAGTAAACAAGATAAAAATAAACGGGCTAGCGCTGCAGTTAGCATTGGTTAGCTTACGTACGTGTCCACTAGGTATTGTGATGCTAGGCCTGCTGTGTACGGTGGTTAGTTTAGCCGCGCATATACACACTTAGCTTGGAAATGCAACATTGTAGATTGGTTTCTTTAATCTTTAGGCTTTCAAACAGCTTGATCGACGCAAAGCTAACGTTAGCTTAGTGCATCAGAAGGTAATCCTAAATTTGGGAGTAGTTCAGGTTCTTAGGCGAACTGCCTTGACCGTCGTTGATTGGCAGAAAATACAGCAACTACTTGTTTACTGATTACTACTGTAATTTGTGTACTCCAGTCCCTGTTTTAAATGTTGTTTAAATGCGCTGTGCCTGCTAATGTTAATGTTGGTGTTACTTTTGAGCGTTTTCCAAGTGTCTCCCTCTTTAATGTTAGCCAATGGTATTATAGCCTCGGGGAGGCTCCAGGTACACATAAATCTTACACAGTAGCAGAGTCCTGCTGTAAACCCCATGCCCAGGCTCTGTTTGCCCTGTTTCACAGCTATTTTAGCGATCCAGCATGTAGTACTGGTGAATTGCAATGCATTATGCCATATTTTAAGTGTCCCTCTATTAGAAGGATGGAAATTAATGCTTTTGTCTGTGTTTCAGGCTTACATTAACCCCATTGCTGCTGCACGAGCCAGGGGGCCGGTACAGGGCTCTGGGCCAACCATTCAGGATTATTTAAGCAGACCTCGACCAACATGGTAAGTAAAGGGCAGATTTGCAGCTTAGTGGTGTAAAGTGGTGTCCTCACTTTATCATCACCACAAGAACATTTTTGGTGTGCTATTAAAGAGCCAAAGGAGTCAAGGTGCACATATCTGGCAGCACAATCTTTGTTAAGGGGTTATAATAAGTTCAAAACTCTAAAGCGTATGAACAGTATTAAGTAAATAAAGCTATTAGTGATTCCTAAGTAAGAATACTAACCTCACCTTTAACTAGAATAATTCAGTCTTTCCCAAAAGGTGACACTTTTGGAATTAAATCCGGTTTTAAAAAATTATTTATTGTGTTTATCAGGGAGGAGCTAAAGGAACAGCTGGAGAAGAAGAAAAAGGGCTCTCGAGCCCTGGCTGACTTTGAGGACAAAATGAACGAGGTACGTTTGCATTATATACAGAGTATTTGAACAGGCATGAACTGGGCTGTTAATCAACACAGTTTTCCTCTGGAGTTAGCTTACTTTTAATACTCCATGGCGGCCTTACTTGTCTATAAGTTAAAAAGATAAATGAAATCTTAAATTTATTTAATTTGTGGGTGGCACAGGGGTGCACTTGTTCAAACATCCTGGTCAGCTGGAGCCTTTCTGTGCCTCCTGGTACTCTGGCTTCCTCCCACAGTCCAAAGATGTGTTTGTTTGGTTAGTTGGTTATTATTAATTGGCTGTTTATGTACAAGTGTGAGAATGTTTGATACAATGGACTCGGAGCACATATTTTACCTTCTTAGGGGAAATCTGTGTTTGCAATGGAAACATGCCCGTACTGTGAGAGCTTGAGAGCTTTTTTAATTTATTTTATTGTGTACAGCATCTGAAGCGTCATCACTGTTTGTCACTGTAGCCACATTGTAATTCATATTAGATGAAAATATTGCACCTTATTGAAACAGTTACCGGATAAACACCACATACTATTTTGGTAACATTGTTTCTTGCTTTTTAAGAGATGGAGGAAAGAACTCGCCAAAAACAGAGAGAAAATGTTAGGCGGAAGTGAAAAGGACAAGGAGGAGAAGAAAGACAAAAAAGAGGTATGATATGAATCCTGTATCAGATTCATGAAGTATTATTTTTATTTCTCACCTTTACTCACTTTTTGTTTCTCTGTGCTTCGTTTGCTTGGCATTTGTGTTTAGAAAAAGAAGAAGGAGAAGAAGAAATCCAGCAGGGTGAGGAGAGACCTCCAGTATTTTGATTAACAGCTGTGCCGTGTTACTGATACATACACACAGAGTGCATGTTTTCTAAACTCGTCTCTTATTCAAGCCTGTAAATGCAGTTTGTTTTTTCAAACAATCGAATAACCTCATATCTAATGAACCCTGCTTCCACTGTGTTTTGGTCAAGCATTCTTCATCTTCCTCCTCCTCATCGAGTTCTGATTCCTCCAGCAGCTCCTCCTCAGAGTCAGATGACGAGGTAAGGTCCTTTTACGATTCATTTTACATCTCATGTAGGGCTGCACGATTTTGCATAAAATGAGAATCACGATTTTTATTTATTTTTTTTTTTTTGCTTAGATCACAATTCTCTCACGATTCTCTTTTCCAATATAAATATTTATTGCACTTATTAACTGCACATCAACTTCGTAACAGTTGAGACTGAACATAAAAACAACAAATGTCTCACATTTTGTCGTTGCTGCAAAATGTTGTACTGCTTGTAATTCCGTCTCCACCGTTGCTCGACACTGCGTGTATAGAGCAGGTAGTGCAACATTTGAAAAGTAGTTATGTGACGGCACTGTGTAGCGTTTGTCTAGGGTGTTGATCATTTTCCTAAATCCCTTGTTTTGCTCAGTGTTGATGGGAGCCATATATTTAGCCAGGTGATAAGTGATAGCCTCCGTAATTTCTTTGTGCCTGCGGGAGTTCGACGGGTATAGGGAAGCGCTGTATAAGCTTCCTGTTATTGTTGTTTGGGGTGGTTGACCGGGACGGATTTTCTCCTGTCACTTTCTTGGCCTTTGCAGCTTCATCATCTCTCACATGCTCTCCGTTGTTTTTTCCTTGCCAGCTGGCTTCTGTATCACGTGGTATAAGGCTCCGCCCTTTTCATTTGTTGAGCAGAAAGAGTAAGCGCTTGTTTTCATGCAGATTATGTCCCGGATCAAAATGCGGTACAATTGTCATCTTTTTTTTTTTTTTTCCTTTTTCTTTTTTAAATTTTTTTTTTTTTTTTAAACCATTGTCATTTGGAAATGAGATCGCACATAAGTATGAATTGAGATCGCGATTTTCTAACGATTAATTGTGCAGCCCTAATCTCATGTGCTTTATCTATCAAAACTAACTCGCAATGCAAGTTTTTTGGCTTGAGCAGTCAACCCGTGTGCCACAAGGTTGTTGACTTCATATGCTGTATGTCTTTTCCCTGCCTTCTCTCACCTTAATAGAAAGGTAAAAAGCCCCCAAAAGTTAAAAAAAACAAAAAAACAAACAAGAAAAAAATGTAAACTGTACATTATAGAGAGATCAGATTTATAAAGACTTTAATGGATCTTAGAAGGATTCCTGCTTTACTTCACATACAGCAAAACCCTGATTGCAGTT